GGTTTTAAATTTATTATTACCATGTAATTAAAAATCAACTGAAGTTTAAATAGTGCTTAAACACTTACCAGTAAAAATTCAGTAGTTGGGTACTTTTTCTCAACTCCAAGAGAAATTGCTGCTGGAAGAAATCTTTTAAGCGTTGATATACGAATTTGCACCAAGTTCTCGTCTAAAGAGCCCCAATCGCAAATCTGTTAAGTATTAAAGATTAATAATAAAGTGTAAATTAAAATATATAAATAAAATTAAGCACAAATATAAAATTAACAAACCTTTAGTTTAGCCATGATAACTTTTGTATTTTGCAAAAATGTGCGTGCATTCTCATATTTAGGTTGTTGCTTGTCCAAAAGCCTTTTTATATCTATTAAACTTTTAAACCAAGCAGGGTCATTGAAAATCGGCCATGGAATGATACTCAATCCACTTGGATACATGCGAGTTATAAAATTATTTTCGCCTTCCTAAAAAAAGAAGACAAAAAAAAATAGTTGCAATTATGAATTGGTGCACTTCTATGTAAAACGATATAACTAACCTCAGCTACCAAGGCATTAAATTTTAATGAGAATTCACGGACGATATCATCCCGATCTTGTTTTGGTACGTCCTTTATAATGATACAAAGTTTTGCCTATACAAATTCATGTCACAAAGAACATATAATGAATCAGACAATCGGTTGACTAGTTAAATGTAATTTCGTAAATTGTACCTGAAATATCTTGGGATCTGATTCAAATAAAGTTGCGCTATCTTGAAATCTTTGGAACATTGTAGACATATCTCTATTGACAGCGAACTGATTCTGTTGTGTTGTACAAAAAAAGTTTTTTTGAGAATGAAATTAAAATTATCTGAGCAATAATTAGAAATTTACCTTGAAAAGGATCATATTTGACACAACAGTATTAAACAAGGTCAAAAATAAATCTACACAATTTATACAAATTTTAATATTTTGAATTCTAATTTATATGAATCTTTAGAAAGCAAAGTTTCAATACCTTCTTGAGGTGTTCTTTCAAGAGATTTAAGTCCCTCAAAGTCCAATGCAACGTATATATATTTCTTAGTGATTGCTATATTTGATTCATACGAATGGTGTTAATGGCACATTGCAATTAAGACATAAATCAAATAAATTAAATAAATTGATACCTAATGACATCCATACACCTTCAGTACAACGCTAAAATTAATAAAGGTATAATAATTAATAAAAACTAAAAACACAACAATATTAAGTTAATAAAATCAATAACAGCCTTACCATAGCAGAACCGTCAAATGTAGTTCCAACTAAATGATTTAACATATAACTATCAAATAATAAAATAAGAGAAATTTGCTGAATTACAGCCTACATATCCTTATGAGCTATAAATGATAATAATGAATAGGTCAGCTCACGATTTGCCACAACTTTGTTCTCCCATCGAACTAACTACTTTAACTTGTCGATTTTCAAAATACTTAAATATTCCTTCATACCACCCAAAACTTATATTTTGAGCAATCGCATCAATATGTCTTGCATATTCATCATCAGGTTCCCCTTGTTCAACCTCAGACGATAAACCATCCCGAAGCGGAATGAAAATATTATTACGTGCAACAGCAATTTGAATTGGAATTAGGACTGACAATTGAATTATCCATCTTGATATAATTAAAGAATTTAAATTAGCGACATATTTATTCTATTACTATATTAACCATAATTTATTATACATACTCTCCAAGTTGATATTCTGTGGTGTTTTCTTGCTTGAATTTTATATCGTCAATATCAAAATCGTTAAAAGTGGCAACATTTACGGTAAACCTACAATGGGATTATATTAGATATAATAGTGTAAAGTTGTTAAATTATTTTTAAAAATAAAGAAATTCTCTTATTACTTTTTTAGTGAAGTCGCAGGTTTTTTTGTTGATCGTCTTAATTCTTCAAACATCTCCGAAACATAATCTTTAAATTTGTCCACATAATATTCTACCTTATCATTATCTTGTACATCTAAGGCAATTAACAAACTTAAAGGTTTTGTTTGTTCAGGATCAATAAAATTATCTATTTGATACTTTTCAAATGTTGATTTGTAAACATCAATAAGTCTATTGAGGTTTATTTGGGGTTCAATTCCGAATTCCACCCAATCATTGTCTGCTACAGGTTTTACAACTTCAGAAATCTTCAAAAGTGTATCAGAAAGTATTTCTTTAACTCTATATTTTTGAGACGATAATACAATATTGTCTCCTTTGCGAATATCTTTTGTAAAATTTGTGTTCTTTCCTTCAATAATAGACAAGTCAGTGTTTTGTAATCTTGCCTCTTCTAAAGATCTTCTGGATCTTTGTTGGAATCGATATTGCGTTTTTTCGAGAGTAATTTTTACGATTGATGAACATAATAAACATTTTTCAAGATCAAGAGTTGTTATATGCATTTGACGTTTCTGAACGAATGAAAATGTGGAATATTCAGGGAATTTCATAAATGAAGGCATCTCGATGACTGGTAAAATAAAATAATGTAATGTATGAATGATAGATAGAAGATGGTTTTTCTATATGCAAATTGTAAATACCTTTTACATGACTTCCAAAGTTAGAACAGAAATATATGTGTGCAAAACACTTTTCAATAATATTTGTAACACTATGTTCGTTTGTAAGATTAAGGTTGCTCTCTTCAAAAGACAGCTCCGTTTGTACCTTCTCTTTTACGAAAGCAACAATACATGCACCATCAGGAGTAGACATAACGTTTGCTGTATTAGCAGGGATGTGACCTATTCCTGGACGAAACTGACCACTAACAAGATTATATATGCGTGCACGTCCTCCAACTTCCACAAAACATATGTCTTCTGTATCTTTAATGAAAAAGAAATGTTGTATATCCGGCGCCAAATAATTGTACCATTGTAATATTTGAACATTTGTATAACGTGGAAACCAACGTATATACTGCTCATCAAACGCGTAAACATTTAACTAAAGTACCATATAAGATAATATTAATATTCATCCTTCGTAATAAATTAACAAAAATAATGACAGACATTAAAAGGCTCAGTAAACTTACCACACCGCTCTTTATGTCGTATATACCAATCAAGCCCCTCGGTTCATTAATAGCAAATAGACAATGCTCACTTGAATTTAATCGCTTAAAAGGTTTTAATGAATTTGAATTAAAAATTGCAGTAAGGCGTGATGCAACATCATAAAATATTTCATATCGACGTTGTTTTTTATTCCAAAGTATTATGAAAAACCTTTTATTCTCAAACTGAGAAATTTTTCTATTTTATAATAAAAAGTAATCTCTTAATATTTATTATTAACAATTTAGTTAACTCTGATAGTTTACCTTAGATCATACACTTCCGGATCAATCAAAAAAGATATTCCAGTAGATTTGTGATTATTATTCGTAGGAAATATAGGTTTAGGTACATAAAATTCTTTCTCTTTCAATTCAAAGGCTTCAGATTGGTCTAATGATGTTTCATAAATATTTATTTGCAATTTAACGGGCTGAATTGCCTCAATTTCAGCCTCAACAATAAAATCAAATGAAGTACGGTAATAGCTGCGGCAATCTTCATGATTTAGAACGATGACTCAGTACATTATAACATTTATTGTACAAATTACGTATAAAATAATACAATTAATTACCAATGTTTAATATTTTAATTTTGAATTTACTACATAAAGAATTAGCGACTTTTATTAGTATTAATTATCATATTGTAATATAATTTGTTTAAGCCCATTACATACTTTATTGGATATTTTCCTTCAACTTTTTGGCATATTATTTCAAATTCACGTTTTTCTATATCTCGCTTCAACATCATAAGTTCTTTTTCTAGTCTGCTGGTTATTTCTTTGCTCCTATCAGAAAATTTTGGCAAAATGTCTTTAATCTTTCTACTAAAAGTTTTTTCTCTCCAATTTGAATATTCATCAAAAAAAGAATTAAGAATTTTTCGTCTAATTTCTTCACAGGAATCGAAAAGATTTGTTTCGAATAACCTTTTAATGAAATTACAATCATCTTGGTTATTTAAAAGTTCGGTAGCTCTAGTATACAATGCATTTATGTTGATATCATCGAATTTTAATTTAGAAACGTCATCAGAGTTTTCGTATGTGAAGAAAGAAACGAATGTTCCTATAAATCCTTTCTGAGCGTCAAAGTATTTTTCGAAAAGTTTTTGTAGATCATTTTCTTCGTCGATAAGTATGGATGGTAAGGATTTTAAAATAATCTCAGCGTTATGCTTATCGCTGCCAGATTTATTCACCACGGCCAATTCAGCAATCAATGCAGTAAAGATGTAGTATCGTCGTTTCATTTTTTTCCAAGCTTCTGAGTTAATTTGAATGATATTTTCAATTCTTTCTTGCATACCAGGATATTTGAAGTCAATGCGTTCAATAGCTATGTATATATATGCATGTATATTTTTTATATACACATAAACGATAAATAACATAGAATATAAGTGATTGCATGAGATTTATGAGGAAAGTTCTTACCAGTGTTATCGATTTCAATTTGAGCACTTGAAGCTTTGTCAGATAGTTGTTCAAATTCACTATAATAACAAAAATTTGAATAGATTGAATATACTGAATATTAACATTTATAACATTTATTTTTTATACCTGTATAATTCTTTTAACATTTTTCGGGACATAGCCGTAATATATTCTACATCGATTTTTATATCATGCATTTCCTGTTCTTTTTTTGAATCATTTTCCTTTGTGGCTAAAGCGATAGCATCCTTTAACGGGCTCATAAGCTCTTTTTCCATATCTAATCCGTTTTTAACAAGTAATTCTAAAGATTTCATGCTCATATTGCGGCTGATTTCTAAAGTTAATCCTTGCAAGCGAAATTGAAGGTCTTGCTTGAAAGTACGACCTGGAAAATGAAAAGTTTTTTTTCGCATAATAGAAGTTGGCACAATCTTTTTTTGAGTGACGAATGTTTGGTTATATGTAGATTCAACAGCTGAAAAAATTATTAAATCAATTAATAATAATAATATAATATGCACACACGATAGGAATAAATACATAATGAATTGTAAATACCTATAGGAGTCAATAAAATTTCCGCATCGCCATTATTTTTTAGGTCTCTTTTTACATTAAATGGGAGATCGACCTGAGCAAAACAGCAATGAAGGAATAATTAGTTTCAAATACGACTCCAGCATCCTGACAATATTACAGTATTAAAAGTTAATATTCTCACGGTGAAACCCGGATATAATTTAAAATCTTCTTTTTCTTCCTGACTTTTTTTAACTTCAAATTCATAGCACATGTTATTTTTTTCATCAAAAGGACCTTGTTCTTCATTTACCATGCTAAAATCAAAGTTTTCCAAATCCTTTTCACTCATAAAACAAATTTGATTATCGGTCAGTTTAGTAAGGTATCTGAAATATTATATATCATATGTAAATAAAAAGACTTGTATTTAGTGTTCAATTCAGAGCCATCAAAATGATGATAAATATTTACTTATGAAGGTTAGTCATATTTTTCTTTCTTTGCGACGATGCATTTTCTTCATAGCATCCTTTTTCAGACCAATGAATCACTAATCCAAGATCATGATTAATTATCAAGAGATAGATTCCAGCTCGAAGAGTAAGCTGATGAGCAACTTCCTGGTCGCTTTCAGACGAATATGACATTGTTAGTGAGTCAAAGCTGTAAAAAAAAAAAGTTTTAGAGTGATAATCCCGATAAAGTTTTTTTTTTTCTAACGTGATAAGACCAACCTACATTTTTTGGTTGATTATATTCTTTTTTAACAAGAGCTTTGCAATAATCGCATTATTTCCATAGCAACCAATAAGTCGAAATGAAATGACATTCAAGCGATCATATTCGATCTCTGAAATAGAGACAAAGCTATGGGGTACCATTTCATTACAAAGGTTTTTAAGCGAATCTTTAGAAATAATTATTTTGTCGACTGTAAAGAAAAGTGATAGATAAATCAATGAATTAGCTTACAAACAATGAGTTATGAAAACAGAATAATAGTAATGAGTAAACACCTAATCCATTTGATCCATCGTCTTTACACAAATCTAACAAGCGGTATAGACCAGGTATATGCTCTACGAGGTCCTTTCCATAGTTGGCACTGATATTTGGATCATCATTCGTAAAGGAATCACCTTGAGCCGGATATCCAGGCTCTTTAGCATTTTGTGCTTCAAAGCAAGATTGATTATTAGATGCGTACGACATGAATAGTGAAGATGTAACATTAGGCAAATCACCTTCTGCGTACTGTCCACCGTTATTTAACACGCTTTCCATTGTAGTCATTGAATCACCAAACGATATTCTGCCAAAGAAAAAAGAAAAAAAACTAAAAAGATAAAGAAGATTAAACACATATTTAATGTAGGACTAACTTTTAAATAATGCAACAATACCGCAAGTTTCTAATTCTTTTGTTTTTGAACCTTTGAATTCAAAAAAGATAAACGCGTTATTACTTATAAATGAATGTCGGCAAAAGAAAATATACACATTTAATTATAAATGTGTATTTTCTTTTGCCGACACTCAATTATTTATTTATTAAGATAAATATATATTACTATCCAGAAAGGAGTCTATTTGTGACAAATCATCAGGCAACAAATATGTAAAAATGTTTTTATTAAATTTAATAAAGCTCTATTTTAAAATTAGTTAAAAACAATCATTGGTTCGTTATCTAAAGTGTAAAGTGACATAAACCACATTGTGACGATAGTCTAAATAAACTTTACTCAGTAAGTCGCATGAATTGTATTAAATCATTTTGTTTTGGTCTTTTTCCAATTGTATTTACTTTAGGTGGATGGTGTAATTAGTATAATTATTCTAGGTATGGGCACGATTCGAATCGAGTTGACTCAAGCCAAACTTTAATTGAGTCAAATCTTGAGTCTATTCGACTCATTCAAAAGCCGACTTTACCGTCCCCATATCTTAATAATATTGATATAATAGCCTCGTAATCAGGTAAGTACCATTCGATTCGTGGTAATTCTGTAATTCGAACAATACCTTTGATCAATGGATCACCATGTATATTAATTTTATTTGTAGATTGTAAATATATAGCTTTTATATATTGTATCTGTTACGATATTTGGATTGTTTTATAATTAGTTCTAGTACATATTCTGGAGATTAATATAAGTAACCATTTATTTTGGTCATAAATTTTAATATAAAATAGTATTTTAAACAGTAAGATACAGTAATATTTACAAAGCAATAAACTTTGCACATATAAAAACGAAAGATATAACTTTTGTTATATTGGTTAATATAATATCTGTAAATGAAGGCTACTCGAGACTAACTCTTCGTCATGACCCATCACCCTTATGCACGGGTAGCCAGATGATGAGCATTGATATTGCAAAGGGTAATGTCCACGAACCTAGCATGACCACCAAAATCAGTTACGTAATCGCTGTTTAAAACCATCTTCCGAAAAGTAATGCAATAGTATCATTTATAACGATATTTGTTTATAATATAGTATCGTTACAATGATTGTTTAAAA